TCAAAGAAGCCATGAGTTTTGATGGAATCATTCAGCAGCCCTGGAGTTGATAGACACTGGCTGGGTGAACCCCAGGGTGGGCCAGAGACAGTCACTTCCATCTGCCTTTTCCAGATGGGGACAGAAAGGCTCAAGGTTGCTACCCAGTTCTTCCTCTTAACTATGTATCCCTGAACACAGGACCAAATGCACTTATTCCAACACAATTTTTTTTTTTTAATGAGACAGTCTCGCTCTGTCACCCAGGCTGGAGTACAGTGGTGCGAACTCAGCTGGCTGCAACCTCTGCCTCCTGGGTTTAAGCAATTCTCCTGCCTCAGATCCCCAGGTAGCTGGGACTACAGGTGCCCACCACCACCCCTGGCTATTTTTTGTATTTTTAGTACAGATGGGGTTTCACCATGTTGGCCAGGCTGGTCTGGAACTCCTGACCTCAAGTGATCCACCTACCTCAGCCACCCAAACTACTGGTATTACAGGTGTATGCCACTGCACCTGGCCATATTTCAGTAAGATTTATTGAAAGCCTACTGTGCGTGGCATCCTTTCTGATGCTAACTCACTTATCCTTACATCAACCCGAGGGGCAGGCACTGTCATTGTTAAGTCACATCTTAGGCCAGGTCAAGTGGCTCATGTCTGTAGTCCTAGCACTTCAGGAGGCTGAAATGGGAGGATCACTTGAGCACAGGAGTTGGAGGTCAGCCTGGGCAACATAGCAAGACCCCTGTCTCCACAAAAAATTTAAAAGTTAACCAGGCTTGATGATGCACACCTGTAGTCCCAGCTGCTTGAGAGGCTGAGCAGGAGAGTCACTTGAGCCTAGAAGTTCAAGGCTGCAGTGAGATACGATGACACCATGCATTCCAGCCTGGGTGACCATGAGACCACATCTCAAAAGAACCATGGTATAGCATGAGCTTAAGAGAGTGGGCCATGGCTGGGCCCAGTGTGGCTTAACACCTGTAATCACAGCACTTTGGGAGGCCAAGGCCGGCAGATCACGAGGTCAGGAGCTTGAGACCAGCTGGGCCAATATGGTGAAACCTCATCTCTAAATATGATACAAAAAAAAAATTAGGCATGTGTCTGTAAACTCAGCTACTTTGGAAGCTGAGGCAGGAGAATCACTTGAACCCCGGAGGTGGAGGCTGTAGTGGTCAGAGATTGAGCCACTGCACTCCAGCCTGGGCAACAAAGTAAGACTCTGTCTCAAAAAAAAAGGAACGGGCTGCCTGGGTCCACACCTGCTGTGCCTTAATGTGCTCATCTGAAAGGGGAGAACAGGTGGGTCTGAGGGTTAAACGAATTCAAACCTGGCAAGCACTTAGGGCCATGTCTGGCGCTTGGTTCACACTCAGTAGACACCAGCTCTTGTTGCTGTTAGTATTCACATCACATCGCTAAGACCATCTGTTTCAGGGAAGGGCATCCCCCAGCTCTGGGCCTATCATTATTGGGGTGCAGCCATGCCCCCATCCAGCCCCACTCATCCCTCAGAGCCTAGACCCTCTTCCAGGCCAGGATGGGGGACTGGGGATTGGGTGGAGTGGACAGCAGAGGTCCTGTGGCCACAGGCTCCCAGGGCATGGGGCAGTGGACCTGGCTTCTGGAGCCAGGCAGAGCTGCTATTTATAGCATCGGGAACTTTGCTGGTTTATTTAAAGCTCCGCAGATACCAGAGAACTGGCACCAAGCTGGGAGGGGAGCCACATTCCCCAGGGCCACCTAGGCATTCAGTTTGGACAGTGCTGAGCACTGTGGGAAGAGCAGGGTGTGTGAGTGGAAGGAACCCTCCACTCATCTCATTTCCTTTTGAATGCAGCTTCTAGCACATTCCCCAAGGATCCACCAATACTCTCAGGTCCCCATCCTGGCCTGCAATGAGCCTGGCATGAACACCCTGACTGCAACCCACAGCCTCCTTGGAACAGGGGTAGGGGGTGACTATTCTCTCTCCTTCTGGCAGAGCAGAAAATGGGGGCATAGGTTGGTCAACACAGTGTTTGTAAAACAGCCCAGAAAGGTGTGGATGTGGCTGGGCACAGTGGCTCATGTCT